GGTGAGTAGTTGGAGAAATTATTACAAGGCTAGTCTAGGTCCTTACTTTACGTACGAGTTCCTCCCAGCATGATACATCTCTCTGTGCTCTTGTCATTTGCATGTGGAAGGTAAAAGTTAGGTTGTATTCGCATATAAGTTTCCTCAAAACTTATTTGCTTTTGGGATTTCCCCAGATCTCATTACGATCCTCTTTCTTCTACAAAAAAAATAAAAATAAAAAAAATCTCTTTTGGCGTTGGCGTGCTCGCTGTATTATCTGCGTATACTATACTTCCGATAATCCTAGTGAGTTATATCCATCTAGATTATAAATTAAATCGAATTTATAATATAATATTGTATTTTAACCTCTAATAAATAAACCTAAATTTCAATTTTTAAACTCAAATTCGAAGATTAAGTTAATAAAAAAAATAATCGAAGATTCTGATTCGTTGAAGTACATTGTAGTACATCCAACAATCACACCACTTGAAATATTGTATACTCAAGAAGTATATATGTTGTCTTTCTAAAAACTCTATGAAAATACTTTTAAGTGTATCATAATTATTATTACATGTGTGATGACGGGGAAAAAAAAAGTGATCAAATCAAAAGAATGATATTTAGGAAAATTTAATTGTGATTTCTGGAGAAGAGAGAGTTAATTAGTATCTTATCAATTACACTATTTTTTATGTTCGTAACCAATTTTAATGTATTTTTATCTCTTTTTTTATAATGTAGATATGTCGCTGCAAATGGGAGAGATTATTAACTTTGTGCCATATATTAATGCCTTTTGGAATTTGTAATGGAAGTACAAATTTACACTTGAAAAAGTGTAATATTCCTAAAACAAAGTGAGAGGGAATCAACATCTTCCTTACATCTTGGCCTTTAGAGAGCTCTTTTCTTGGTTGTTTTTTTTTTATACTTAAAACATTAATATAGCCTGGAATTAGGCCTACAACAACTCCTTTTCCCCCAGAAATTCAGCCAGATGATGATCAAGTAAGTACCCAGCTTGTAAATAAATAAACCTACCTACTCCAAACTGATAATGAAATTACTTAAGTAGCAGAACCAGAAATGGATTTGATTGCACTCCAGAAATCAAGGTAAACAAAATACAGAATTACTAATCATTGGCACAATTACCAAGGGCTTCCCCATTCACATATTAATCAGTAATTGATTGATAGGCATCATATTTGCCAGGAGTCACACTACAACAAAATATGGCTTTTGCAACCAAAATTCTTACAACCAAACTAAAATTGGTTGCGAATAGGGTATTATTTACAACCAATTATATTTTGGAAGCTAATATATTAAAAATTTGGTTGCCTATAAAAATCGAAGTATAGATAACCAAATAAAATTTTAAGTGACCAAATAATTTGGTTGCAAAATGGTTTATGCTTTTTCCAACCAAATAGTTTTGGTAGCAAAATGATTTTTACCTTTTCCAACCAAATAATTTGGTAACATAATGATTTTTACTTTCTCCAATAAAATATTATTGGTTATGAATTTTAACAACAAATTTCAAAAACTTAGATAACTAAATAATTTGGTTGCAAATTCAATAAAAAAATTCAGCAACTAAATTAATTGGTTGTCCTAGTGTTCTATAAAAATGTAGTTACTATATCTGACTTTTATCAAAACTGAGTGACTATAATAGTAATTATGGAAAACAATCCAATGTCGTGACTCGTGACTGTCGTTCATTCTGGTTGATTAGGGAGAATGAAGTTTCTGGGAAGTCTCTGGGGATTAGTGACCCTCGACAAATTATTTGTCAGATTCCATCCGATCTCTACTCCTCCTCTTATTTTTCCTTCTCATCATGTCTATTCCGATTCCGATTTCTCCTCCTCTTCTTCTCGATTCCTATTCCGATTCCGAATCCAACTTCTCCTCTTCTCCCGTCCCCTCATCGATCCTTATCGTCATGTTCACCTCTCATCGATCCGTCGCATACATGCCCCCGTCCAAGAGTCGGAGCTCCAGTTGCTATCATCTTGATCCCCAGCTACAGGAGTGGCCCTTTCGTCATCGGTGGCGTTGAGCAAGTCATGAAGGCGATGAAGCACGAGGTCGTCGCTGGCGTCGTGGAGAGAACACGGAAGGCGAATACGCCGGCCTTGATCATGATTTGTCCATGGCGTCGTAGGGAGAACACGGAAGGCCAAAACGCCAACCTGGAGCACGAGCGCCGCTCCAATCCCTCGCCAGCGCTGCTGCGATTTTGATCGCGATTAGTTCCGCCGCCGCAGAAACCGATACTTTCTCCTTCGTCTCTCCGATCTCGTCCTTGCGGCGGGTAAGAATTGATCAGTTATCCATTGAGCTCAATATTCTGATTCTTACTTCGTTGTTATGCATCGGTGTGATTGTTCATTTTGTTTTTTGTGCATAAAGTTCGAGGACGCCGTCGAGTTCTTCAGCCGGTGCCCCAGAAATCAGGTTAGGGTTTTTGAATTTTCTAAAGTTTAAATTCTTCGCTCCATGCTCTAGTTGGCTAGTCTTTGGTGTTAGTTCTTGATTGTAGCACTAGGTGAACAAATTTTTTTTATACCTGGAGCTTCAACTTTGGATACGTAATAGCTTCTGTTTCTCAACAGTAAGACACTATAACAGATTCACCATCCCCAAACCTCAGTTCTCTATTCGGGGAGTTGATTGATTTCGTTCCTCCTTGTTTGAATTTGCTTGTTGTTGTATCAGTCAAAAGGGAGGGGGGATGACCTGAAGAATCACGCATAAGAGCATAGAGCTTTGAGTCTTCGATGAGCCCGGTTCCTTCCCCGCCTTTGTCCGTCGCGCCTGCCACTAACCTTGCGGCTATCAAACAAGGCCTCGATCAGTCTCTTTGGAGGAGCTCTACAATCTCCTCTCTGGCTCATCGTTGCCCACATTCAATGCGAGTTTCTAACCCTTCCTGGTTCCTTCAGTTACTTCTGTGTTTTGGAGGCTCTCTTGGATTTGCTTGTGGAAGGGTTTTCTTCCTTTCTCAGTTCCCAGTACCCACTACTTTGTCTTAATCCTGATTGAATAAAGTATTTATAGTGTTTTTGTCAGTTTGATTGGAGTTCTCTGCTTCTGTTTTATGGTTTCTTGAATGTCATCACTTATGAAAAGATCGACTGATGCACTTCTTCGAATGGTAAAAGCTATACTTAAAACTGGGGATGGTAGGTTAGTAATTTAAAAAGGGATCCCAGGCGATTGCTTCTTGTAGCAAAACATGGAGCTAAGCAAAGCTTCCATTTTCCAGTTTTCTGAATGTTGTCTCTGTGAATATGTAAAGTGTCCAATTATGTTAGGGTTTCAAGATTGCTCTCAAACGTTTGATTTCTCCTTTACTGGACTGAGTTACTTTCATATGATTAACTCATGAATGGCTTGATCACTGCTAATAGTTTTGTTCATGTCACCAGCTTCGTGGTAGCAATGGCTATACTAATCCGCATTCACCATTTCCTTTCTTTATGTCTTGGATTTAAGTAACCTTGATCCTTCTTCCTAAAGCTCTTTCAGTGATTTAGCATATTCTCTTATCTTAGTTGCAGTCTTGTATTAAAGTAACCTTGCGGTGCAGAGAGGAGTGCTTCAGGCCTTGAAAATCTGTCTTTCGTAGAGCTTGTGAAAGGGGTGCCTTTTTCCCCAGCATACTATACGCTGACACCTGAACAATTAGAGACCAATGGATATTGTCCTGACCAACCAGGTAAGTTTCAGGGTGTTGTTTCCTTTTGTTACTTCCATCATATCGATGTCCTTAACTTTGGCCTTCTATCATCTATAGTCTTTCTCTTTCTAGAAAAGACCGAACTCTGGTGATGATGTGATCGACTCACTTTGTACAAAAGAGCTTATTATTCTAAAGCTAAGACACATTAAGAATGTTTTGATACTATCTGATGATCATATCTGCAGGATGGACTACATGGGGTTTGTGCACTTCGTGTTGTTGACTTGTTTTAGAAGAATCCCCCTTGTTTGTCTTTGGCTTTCGTTTTTCTTTTTGTATACATAGGAGCGGACATTTCGATCTCTTGCATGTCTGTTGATGATAGTTATTATTATTTATTATAGCTTGAGATCACTGTAACAATGTGATTTCTTTCTTTCTTTTCTGCTTTGGATACAGTTGTGCCTCGGACTCTGTTTTGATAAAGATGAATGAAACAAGAAGTATCAATCAGTTCCCTGAGACACCTAACGGTGACACGTTGAACCTCCTCATGTTCTCCATCTAATTATGCATTTCATTACGAAATCGGAAGCTTAGCGAAGCTTCACAGAAGCAGTTCTTCATTTCGTATGATGTTTGCGTTATAGGTGTTTGGATTTGATTGATTTAGATTTTAAGGAATTATTATTACTCTATTTTTGGGTTGTTGCTGGTCAGTAGATGGTTCATGTATATGTTACTGGTTAGTTAGATTGACGATCTTCTTGAAGCTAAAACAAAGGTATTGGATCTAATAAATGCATTTTAAATGATCTTTGGGGAGGGTGATTTTCAGAATTGAGATCATGACCAGAATTATGCCTTCCTTTTTGACTTAGAGAATGGATAATTGTAATGCTAATGTTAGGTGCCAATAATGCTGCTGAAAGAATAGTTGATGGTCAACTATTTTTTTTTTATGGGAGATGGTCAACTATTCTTGAATGATACCTTAGCAAGCAAAATTTTTTGTTCCCCGTTATATAAGATTTGATAATAGGAGGGTTAAGAGCTCGTTTTCGATCTTATTCACATTTCAGCAGTTCTTAATTTCCTTTTATTTTCTGTGTTCTGAATTTGATTTTGTTGAACACAGAAGTTGATGTTGCTAATGCTGTTACTGAAGAAAAATGTTTTCATCGAGGTTACTTGGGCTGAATTTCTCGATAACGACAGGTTAGTGGGTGGTTTGGAGATTCTAGTTTTAGTCCTGCTAGCTATTTCTCTCTTTGTTAACATATGGCTATTGTCTTTAATCTGTGTAGCTATCTTCACCTTCTCAAGAGATCTGGAATCTGGAAGTTTGTTTGTGTTTGTTCAGGTACACGCCAAGAGGAGTAATTGTGGGGATTTATGATTGCTTTGTCTATGCTTATTGATCACCTAGTAGTACTGTTTGGGTCAATTCAGTTAAAAGTCATTGTTCTACTTAGCTAGGTACCTACCTGATCACCTAGTAGTTCTCTTTGGGTCAATTATGTTAAAAGCCATTGTTCTACTTGGCTAGGTACCTACATGATCACCTAGTAGTACTGTTTGGGTCAATTAAGTTAAAAGCCATTGTTCTACTTAGCTAGGTACCTACTGATCACCTAATAGTACTGTTTGGGTAGATTAAGTAAAATGCCATAATTTGTCAACGAAGTTCAATACTGGATCTGCTTTTGTTCTAGCTTACGTTAGTTTTGTTGCTACTCTATTGTAAGATAATTTGAACTCCATGAAATTGGCAATTTGCGGCAGATTGTACGAGTGAAGATGTTGATTTACTGTTGTGATTCATTCAGGCTTATCAGAGCTTGTTTGATGAGCAACTCTGTTGCTGTGAATATGGTGTTATAACCCTCAGCTCCAATTGCCAGGTTCGGTCCTTTTTCCATATAATTACTGTGGCTTTTTTTGCATAATTGTTGAAGGTTTGTCCGTGTCTTATGCCTCTTTTGTTTTTGGTTTCTTTCTCCTTCACTTATGCCTTCATTGAAGTCTTGTTGATCTTCACATTGCCATAATGTATCTCTATTTGTGGTTCTTCTTTTATGCCTCTGTAGCCCTGTTATGATGGCCGTAAATTGGATTTACATATTGAATGTGTGTCTAGATGCTTGAGCTAGCTAGTTCATTCTCATTTCTGAGTGTCTTTTCATCGGTGCTACTAGAAGTAGAAATGCTCATGCTCCCTGGCATGTTGCAGGAATCGAAATAGTGGGTTGAACTTAAAGGGGAAGTGAACTTGAGATGATGATAGCCCTTGAAGTTGTGATACATCATCGTTCAACAGTGGGGTTACTTTGGTGAGATTGTACAAAGAAAACACATGATGTAATTGTGAATTTCGAAATAGTGGGTTGATTCTTAGTGATAACATTATGTAATTGTGAATTTTGGTTACTAAACAATAATTATGTAATTGTACTACTAATTTTTTTGTTATATGAATTAATTTTTTTATTATAATCCTATTTAATTTTTTATATGTAATTTTAGTGACCAAAATCTCATTGACCAAATTGGTCGGCATGTGAATTTTCGGTAGCCATTCATATATTTTACAACCAATTATTATGGTTTTGTTAAACTTTTATAACTAATAAAATTAGTTACCTAAAATAATATGATTGGTCGGCATATGGATTTTTGACGACCAAATTTTATGGTTGTATAACAATTTCATAACTGAAATGATTAGTTGCCAAAAATAATATGATTGGTTAACATATGTATATTTTGCGACCAACTCTTAAGGTTGCGTTAAACATCCATAACTAAAACTATTGGTCACCAAAGTACTAAAATTGGTTGAGGTATGTGTTTTTCACGACCAAATTTTATAGTTGCTCTAAACTTTCATGACCAAAAAAATTGGTTGTCATAATGATATTATTGGTTGACATATATTAATTTGACGACCAAATTAAATAGTCACATATAAAATTTAACGACCAAAATAATAGGTTACTAATAGTCACATATAAAATTTAACGACCAAAATAATAGGTTACTAATAGTCACATGAACTTGGTAGTCATTTGTATTTTTGGCGACCAATCACCTACATTTCCCAACCATTAGGTTGGACTATGACAACCAAATTAAAATGGTTGCGAAAAAATATGGGGTTTTTACCTTCGATAAAATTGGTTGCGATAGCTTTCTTTTTCGCTATCAAGCACTATTTTGGTTGCGTTAGGTATTCGTAACGCAGCTATAGCGACCAATTCTGCAACCAAAATATTTTGGTTGCGTAAAAGTATTTATAACCAATTTTGGACCTTTAGGGACCAATTCTGTTGGTTGTAAAAAGCATTTTTTCTTGTAGTGTAGTATACTGTGGTTTCTTTTTCTTATTTTAAATCATTCGTAAATATCTTTAAGATTGGGCACTTTTTGACTTCTATGGATCATAAAACAAATGTCTGATGTCAAATTTCTTTGGAAAATCGCTTTCACTTTGTTTGTCTAGTAAAGTAATTATACATAGTTACTTAAGAAAATTACTTTAAGATTATCTAGTGACCATCGAACAAATTCATAAGTCCCTCCAACATGCACAAAGTTTTTTTACTTGTAAAATGTGTATTATTAGTTGATTTCTTGTTCTATTAGAGGGCGTAGTATGTTTTTTTAATAACACAGGAACATCTCCACGCACACACCATAATTTGTGATAGCGGAGAGAGACCAAACCTGTGGTTCACAACGAGCCTCGAGAAGGTATCGAACACGAGATCTGTCACTTCGCAAAATAGAGTTAAGTAGTAGATATCAGCAATCCTAGATCGTGTCATCATGATCTCAATGCAAGATGCATGGCTAACTGTGGCTGTAGTAGTAGCAGTGGAAGTTAAGTTAGATCATGCAATTGAATAGTCTCTCTACCAAAAACCCACGTCCTCCGCCAAACTAACTTTGACCCACCCACCCAACCAACCAACCGATTCATCAAACACAATTAACTCAACCCCAAATAATTAATTCGTCACAACTAGGAGTTAGTTTGCATTAATCTCAAAGACTAATTATATTGAACACAGAAAAAATTGAACGCAAAGTGCAAATCTCCCTTTTTTTTTACATTATATATATATTAATATTATTTCCAAAAATATATCCAAAAGAAACCAAACCAGGAAGAAACAAAAGCTAATTAATTAAGTCCAAAATTGGACTATACTTCTACAACTACTAGCTGCTAGTAGCTCTAAATTAGTTAGTTAATTAATTAATGTATACCTTCCTCCTCCTCCTCATCATCCCGTCTCTTTTTACTTCCCCCTCGGCCCCTCCCTCCCTTCCTTCAACCCCACAAGCGGCAGTTCAGAGTTTTGTTTTTACGACATAGAAGAAGGAGAAACCTCCCAGTTTCTCTCTCCTTTGTTTTCTTTTCTTGTCGCGAGATTTTGATATTTCAGCGCAAATCTCGATGATTCACATGCTTCTCGCCATCATATCGTGGAATCTTCTCAACGACTCCTGCTTCTCCAGCTGGAACTTCTCGTGGCACTCCGCGATGAACATCTCCGCCAGCCTGTCGATCTCATTCACTACTACTCCTCCTTCTGCCGCTGCCACATCATCACCATCCTCCTCCTCGTTCCCGCCGCCGCCGCCGCCACCACACTTGTTGTCTTTCTCTTCCAGCCAAAGGAGGTACCCTGCCAGCGTGGACTCTGACGAGGACCACTGACAAGCAGCAGTAGTACTACTACTGCCCTCCACGTAGGAGTCGGAGGAGCAGCCACGTAGGACGGATTCGGGGACAGGTAGGACGCGGGAGGAAGAGGTGGAGCCCCAGTTGTAGTGAAGCCTGAAGGACCCAAAGAACACCTTCTTCCTCTGCTTGCTGTTGTGACCGGCGATGAGGTAAGGGAAGTGGTGGTGGTTCTTGAGGGCCTGGAGGAGGATGGATTTGACTCGTCGGAGGGCTCGAAAGGCGCGGCAGATGTGAGCCACGATCAGGCTGTGGATCAGGGCTTTGATGCTCTTCATTGCGGTTATTGATGTTGCAGAGGAAGAAGATGGCCTTGTTGGTTGGAGAGTTTTGAGATAGGCCATAGTTTTTTTTTTCTTTCTCGCTTTGGCTTTGGCTTTTGTAGGGTTTGAATATTGTGTGGGGTTGTGTGCCCTTGGAATGGAGGGTGTGTGTGTAAGTGTGTTTATATAGAGGAGGGTGTGGGTTGCGAAATTGCCCCTCAACTTGCTAGGTATTTTAAAGGCAAGTTCTGTGCTATCATGTCATAGACTTTTGGTCGTCATCCTTTCTCTTAGAGGTTGATTGATTGAGAGATGTGTATATGTGTGTCTTGTTGTGGGGATAGTTTCCTCAACTTTTGTTGTCTTTCTGTTTTGTTTTGTTTTGTTTTTTTGGCCTTCTTAATATTTGATAAAATGAAAGGGACTTCCAAGTGTTGAACAAATATACGAATACGATCGATTATTGGTGAGTATAATTCTTTCCCCCGTTAGGGACAAGTACTTCCCTTTCCAGGCTTCCAACTTCCTCTGCATGTTTAACTGAAAAACTGAATTCCAAATGGCATAGGCGAAGCTCCCAAAGGACAGCTCGAGGTATGTGGTTGGGAGGTATTCCCAATCACGCCCAAACAGATTTGCCAATCCTTTTGGATTCTAAACTTCTCTAACTAACTGTAAACAACTTATTTTTCTCCAAGTACACTTTAAGCGATGAGATGCTCTGAAAATATTTAAGTGTTTGGTCTACCAGTAATATCACTAGTCGTGAATTTACAAGAATCAGATTCGAATCTGTTAAGTAACACCTATCAACAAAATGTAAACTTATGTAATCCTTATAAAAAAATTAGGGAGTTTCTAAAGGTCGCCCTTAAAATTGCTAAATGTCGCCCTAAAAAACATCAAAGTTACAAATTTAACCTTTTACCTTCTTTACTCTTCCTTTAGCAAACAAACACAACTTAGTAAAGAAAATAAAACATTATTCAAAAGAGAGAATCCATCATCGTCATTCTGGAGTTGGAATCGTCGATATGATGTCTGGAGCATGACTAGCGACTCTGAATCAGTAAAGTTTACTCACAAAATTGAAAAAAAAAAACAAAAAAAGGGAACCGTAGCTCATTTGCGGTTGCACCATGGGCCAACCGCAGCTCACTTGCGGTTGCATGCGGTTGGCCCATGGTGCAACCGCAGCTCACTTGCGGTTCAACCATGGGCCAACTGCAGCTCACTTGCGGTTGCACCATGGACCAACCGCAAGTGAGTTGCGGTTGCACCATGGACCAACCGTAACTTGCCTTAGGTTGAGCATTTTTTTTGGAAATTTCGTTAGAGAATGGGCGACCCCGACGGCGAGAAAGATGCCGACGAACTGGTGCGTCGAGTGGGATTCGCGAAGAAGGCAGATGAGAGATTCAGTTTGAGGGGTTAGGGATTGTTTGGTTTGTTTAAATTTTGAAATTTTATTGGGGGTGTATAAGTCATTTATCATTAGAGTTAGGGCGACCGTTAGCAATTTTAAGGACGACATTTAGCGATTAAAAAAAATTAATATATGATCAATTGGGCTTGGGTAGATAATTAGGACTAGGGCTGGCTATTTGGACCGGGACCGGATGAAAAACCGAAAACCGGACCGTATAACCCTGACCGAGACCGGATCGAGACCGGATAGTAAACAATCCAATCCAATCTTTGGGCTTAGATTTGAGGTAAAAAACCGGATAAAGAACCGGATAAGAGAGCTCAACACCCAAAACTTAAGGGTAATTTGCATAAACGGTCACAAACCTTTGCACTTAGTACAAAACTTAACCAACTCCTCACCCTTTTAGGCCTTAGGCCACTCAAATTCCCACAATCTCAATATAAAATCAAGATTGAATTGGGACAGGACCGGGTCAAGACCGGACCGGATCCAATCCAATCTTCGGTCCTTATATTTTCAAAAAAACCCGGACTGGACCGGATCAATTTGGACCAATTTAACCGGACCGGATCGTATAACCACCCCTAATTAGGACACTATCTTATATGTTATATTAAAAATGGGTTCCATCGCTAGTGGGATATGATATGAAAAAAATCTCAAATTGCCTTTCACTTATTTTAAAAATATAAATTAGGGGGCAGCATCCTATAATGAATAATCCTCCCTTTGATTATGAAGATATTAATTAACATCCAATCTACATAAGATTGAATTTGATTATATCCTTTGCTATAGATGATCTTGCAGAAGAAAATAGTTAAATTCGAACATTTAACTACCCAATTGCATTGTAGTTACAACAAACAACATCATTAGATGAATAATTCTTTAGTAAATTTGATTTTACTTATATCCCTTCTCTAGATAAACATGGAATAGTTCCTCAAATTTTTAAAAGTAATTTGAAAAGAATTGAAGAGATGCTAATCAATATCAAATTTTATTTTAAATATCGAATACAATTCAAATAAGTGAGTAAAAAGAAGAAAAGGGACTTGGAGGCCCTTTTATCCAACTAGGAAAAAGCAATTGATAAGGGAAAAGAAAAGTGAAAAAGGCAAAGGAAACATCAATCTGAAGGTTCGACAATGTCAGATGTTGGTCCCATTTATATTTTATAGAGCCAGTCATGTTGTCCAAATTAAGGATTGCGAGATTTTGTGTTTAATAATGCTAACTAGTTGCATTCAATGCATTAATTGAGGAGTTAATTATTGTGAAAATTAATGTAAATCGTCAAGTTAGATGATTGAAGCATGATTAGTTGATTGAAGCATGACTAGTAGTATAGTATAGAGTAGTAGTACTGGGCCAATTTTGCGAAAAATGCTCACAACCCTGTTCATGAGTGCATGTTCACACCACCATTTTTGCTAAACTGATTCAAGCATGACAGGTATTAGTATAGAGCAGGTGGAGCTACAAATGCTCACAACCATCATCCTCTTAAGCTGAGGAAGACATCGTATGTTAGACGACTGGCTGGAATGGTGGAGGAGCCTGCTGCTTCGGCCATGGTCAAATTGGAAAGTATATGACTGCTTGCGGCGGCGGAGGAATAGGATGAGGCGGCTTCGCCGGCGGTGGACTGAGTACATGCACTAGTTTGTAGGTAACGATGGAAAACCTAGAGTCGGCCGGAAATGGTCACGGGTTTGGAAGGGTTGGTTGATGGGTTTGGGGAACTTAGAGATGGCGGGTTGACTGACGTGACGGGTTGAGTTTGGTGATGTGACGGGTTAAAATTGGATGAGTCAGCACTTTTGTTAGTCATATCAGCAATTGATTGACGTTGTTAACAGAAACTGATGGAGACTATCAGAGAATGACGAGAGCCAAAATTGATGTTGAAACAACTAGTACTTATGTTCTATAATTCTTTCTCAATAAGTTGTCAGATTGCAAATACATTTGAGCTATCATAGCAAATAAAATTAGGAAGGAACGCAATTTATAAAAAATGTATTTTGATAATCAGTGTAATTGACACATTAGTAAGTCTAGACAAAACTAGTGATTTTGGGGTCTTTTCCCCAAATACCGTAATAATTAAAAAAAAAGTTATACAATACAACACTTATAAAAAAATTTCTCAAAATACTTAAGGGGTCGTTTGGATGTTGTGATTTCAAATGCTTTATTGTGCCAATTCATGTATTTATGAGATTAACTCGTTTTTTTTACTTATATTGAACTATAATACATGCATTAACTTTTTGGAGGCCCCCACCACAATCACTCAAAATTGAGGGATTATCAATCTCTACTTTTTGTTGAGATTCTTCCCAATCACTCAAAGTTAACTTTTGTGGCTTTACAAAAAAAAAAAAAAAATCTAAACCTCCAAACAAGATATTTGTCTATTACATCAATTGATTCAATACATCAAATGATAATATACTAATTGGCTTAATACATCAATTTGAAGAATCACAACTTCCAAACGACCCCTAAGTTTGGAGTGGTTCGAGTTCAATGGACTGGAACCACTAGTGGGATCGAGTTAGAAAGTCTCGATCGATTTTCTAAGGTAGTGGATCAAGTCTGATGGCCTCGATCCACTACTTGAGGTGGTGGATCGAGTCTGATGGCCTCGATCCACTACCTGAGGTGGTGGATCGAGTCTGATGGCCTCGATCCACTACCCGAGGTGGTGAATCGAGTCCATTAAACTCGAACCACTGCATTGAAATTTCCAATAGCCTTAACTTTGTGCTCGGTTATCTTATCATAGTGAAATTTTTTTGATTCCGCATAACTTTTCGAGTACTACAACTTTTAACATAGAAATATTTTCAGAATGTATGTGTAAATGTGAAATGTAAATCTAACCTTATTCTCAAAACCCCTTATATCCAAAAAAACACTTCTTATTTTGATAATTTCTTCCTAGTAAAAGTTGTAGTATTCAAAAACTTATGCAAAATAAAAAAAAGTTCACTAAAATCGGATTATGAAACACAAAGTTATGATCATTTAAAGTTTGACAAAATCAAAAAAATGTCATTTGCTACTCCAAACAACCAATATTTCATTTGTTGCCAAAATTTGGACGATCATAACTTTGTGCTCCGTAATTGATTAGTCGGTTAATCGTTTAACCGTCGGTTAGTATTTAGTTAAATTTTACTATTGGGATTTGATCATTTACTGTTTGATCCATTGTCAGTTACACCATTAACAAGATAATCGTTTACCAGCCCTACCTAGACTATTATGTGGGCATGAAAAGCCCACTGATGCGCTCTTCATTTTCCCCGTTGAATAGCATCTTTCGATATAGTCTAATTATTGTTTTTAAGTTTTTGTCTAATTTTGAATAATGATAAGCTTCACCGACAAATACACTATCAAGAAAAATTATATATATATATATAATGTAAAATTGAACCGCTACTAATGTAAATCGCACCACGTCTCCCACCATCCGCTGCATAGCACGGGTGCTTTTCTAGTCACCTGTATAAAAGTAGAGGTGTTCAAATGGTTACCATGGTTATAACCAAACCAAATAAGGCTA